ACAGAGATCTGCCTGCCTCTGCCTCCTGAGTGCTGAGATTAAATCCTCTTTAAAAAAAAATATTATCTGAATTCCGCTGCAATATAACTCTTCTTGTCCTAAATTCCTGGTCACTGTGGAAGTTTGTTGACTTCAGATACATCTCCCTGTTAACCGTATCTTTTATTTTTTATGGAAAAAAGAGTTTATTTGAGATTAAGTTTCCAGAGGAATTACAGTCCATCACAGCAGGGAGGCATGGTGGCTGGAGGTGGCTGGAGCAGAAGCAGAATCTAAACTCTACATCTTCATACAGGCAAAGGAAGCAAGAGAGTCACTGGAGATCATCAAGGCTTAAGGGCTCTCTAAGCCTGCCCCCAGTGATGTGCTTCCTCCAGTATAGCCACACCTTCTTTTTTTTTCACTTTTACAAAAACTTTATTGAGAATTTCATACATGCATATAAGGTGTTTTGATCAAATCCATGCCCACTCCCTCCCCTCCAACATCCCCCCCCAAGAGGTAACCCTAAAATCTTTTAAGGATTAGATACAAGCTCCCAAATGCTTTTTGACATTTTGACATTTTTGGCTTTTGGAACAGAGTGTATTGCTAACAGGCCCAAGGAAATTTTGACTTTTAGCCAAGAAACTGGCTACATTTCTTTGGGGTCTTTTTACCCTAACTGCCTAGCCAATTCCTTCCTCCTATTCTTATCATGCCATCCTCTGAAGGGGTTAACCAAATTGCCAGTAGGAAATAGGGACGAAGACTGCTCTGGCTTCTTCCATGCCAAACAGGGACGCAGGGTGAGGCAACTGGAGTACCCCTTCAGTGGATCTAACTAAAAGACTCCCAAATTGTGTAATTCTTGTCTCTAAGGGGAAAAGAAAGTTCTTGAATCATGAATAGGAGATGTGAAGGAGAAGTAAAGGCAAGAGTGATTAGCATTACAAGTTCTAGACAGGGAACTAGAAAATAGTCAGAACAGGGCAATTTTCAAACATTCATATAAAAGTCCATTGGAGTTTCTTGTTTTTTCATGTGTATGAGTAGTATGCCTGCATGTATGTAAGTGCATCCATGTTGTGTAGTACCCACGGAGGACAGCAGAGAACGTCAAAATCTCCTGGAAGTTGAGGACAGTTGTTAGCTGCCAAGTGTGTGCTGGGATTTGAAGCCGAGTGTTCTGCAAGAACAGCCATTGCTCTTAATTGCTGAACCATCTTTCCAGCCCTACATCCTTATTTTTTCAACCGGCTTTCTTTATCTTATACTGGTTTTTGATACTTTTGGCTTGTTTTCCATCATATATTATTTTGTTGAATGTTTTTCCAAGTAATTTATTACTTTTCAGATTTTTTACAACTTGAATTTTATAAAACATAA